ATGCTGGTCAACCATCTTTCTTCCCCTTCCCCCACCCCCTCATCGACGAGGTCTAGGTTTCATCACTACTTCTCCTACTGGATCATTCGTGCGTAATTGTCTCTTGAATGCACGTTCTGAGAACTTTATTTCGTCATATAACTGCATGCACGTCAAACCGAAGTTGAGTTTGCTGCTGCTGTGAACAGAAATATGGCTTTAGTGCTTGGAACATCTTTCTGTGGTAGGAACAAGTAACCTAGTACTTCTGCGCAACTTCTTGTACTCAACAATGACCACCAGGAAAGGATTTTATCTGTCTAATCCGCACTGTGTACATACATATCCTCACCACGTAAACTTCAATGTCAAATATCAAGACGTCAGCTGCTGTTTGTAGGCACATGTGTACAACACGTGCAGCACAACGCACACCCACAGTTTCTCTGTGAGACTTTCTTTGGTCGACTATACACATTGTTTTCCTCTCTCATTTTTACTCTCCCAGCTACACATAATCCTATTATTTTGTGCTCGAGTTCACGTCTCTTTATCACCTGGGCCAGATTTAAGGGGGGTGGGGGAAAACCGGGGCGATTTCTCTAGGGGCCTCCATAAAATTCAAGTATTTTATTTACTGCAAAAAGCATTCAGGTAATCATCAATGGAAACCGATCACAAGACATCCATAGTCATGAAATTGGTTCATTTTAGTCCTCATTAAATTCGTCACTTGATAACAGTTCCAAAACCTTTAAAATCACTGTTTCACACTTGTCTAGACAATATTAAACTTCGGATCGAATAACAGTGAAATCAGTATCGGATATTTCTTAGTTTAGACTCCTTTGTTTTCACCTAAACGTTTTCAAAATACTTAGCACATGGCATCTGTGACTGAAACCTATTTTAATTCAAACTTTTCTTAACCTCAACTCTCCTTATTACTTAATTTCAGTAGCAAAACATCCAACAAATAAAACGTGTGATTATTAGCAACTTCAGTACAGTATTTAGAATTAAGACGCACACACTCAAATGTTATGGATCACCTACCTCCTTTGAAGGAAGTAGGAAGACGAAAAAGAAGTTACACACGTTGATTGAACCACAAAACAGTTTTTGCAGAAAACGATTATTCAGAACCTTGTTATGAATAAGCTCCACCCGCTTTTGCACCAGGAAAAGTGCTCCCGGCCTAGATCACCGACATCCGTATCAGTAATGCAATGCTAAAGTTCGCAACTTCTGCCATCTACTGGTCCACTACGAATAACACAACAGCGGCGATCTGCCGGTAGCGGTATTCTGTAAGTAAAAGGAATGGCTACTATTCAAGTAATACAATTCCTACCCACGAAATTGGTTCTTCAGTGGCACAGTTTCAATGAAAAAAGTACAAATATTTCATGACCAATCTGAAAATCCTGACTGAACTGTGTTTGACCTTCAGAAAGTATATCACAGAAAGTGAAACTAAACGTGCATTAAACACTGCTGTGTACGAGCGTGTGTTTGTACAGTGCTAGTTCCAGCTTTCTACAACTTCATATCTACTACTGCAGTATGATCAATAGCATATATACACTAACCTGGGATCGAGATTAAGAGATTACACCTAAGGGCGGCAAAGTGAATAATCCCGCGTCATTTTGGGGAGTTGGAAATGTATTAAATTCATGTAAATGAGTTGAATATTGTGAAATGAAACGTGCTACAGAAAGTACGACAATGTCTGCTGAAAAAGAAACACAGAGGGAAAATGAATGTGATAATGAAAGGTACAGCACCCAGCCGTTGTATTCCATTTATAGAAAAGGGTCTTAAAGTAGACAAATTTATCTTAGATTCTTGAGAACTTGTATTTTCTTACGACGTCTTACATGCCATGGTAGTTTCTGGGTTATGAGGTTCTGTAAGGTCTTGCTTATATTTATTTCTTATTTCAGGTCTCGAAACCGTGAAGTAGGAAAAAATTTGCACAATGTTAGCAACACATCTAACTGGGATATCAGCACGAATACGTCAATGAATAAAACTTGGGCTGAGCTTCTGGACGAGGAAGAGAATTTTAATCAAATATCTGATCCCGTAAACGACAGCATCGTGGGTAAAGATGAAACAGAGGTACAAGAAATTAATATGCCAGTAAGTGATAATGTGAACAATGTTAAGGAATTTGAAACAAATGTCAACATTAAAGAAGAGCTGGAAGATCGGAAGGATGAAGAAGCAAGACTTCAGAAGGAGTTGGATTTGTTTGAGCATGAGTGGGTAAGAGAACTAAAACAGTCTAATGAGAATCTAGTAACAGAAGAAAGTGTAACACATGTTTCTAGTGTTGCAATTAAAGAAGAGAAGAATGATAAAACAAAAGAGACATGTGATAAGGCAAGTAATAAGAAATGTATAGACAGTAAAGAAAGAATTGCAAACAAAGTAAAAAGTGATTTATGTGAACTAATAAGTGAGGAGTTAGTTACAAAGACACAAATTAAAAAAGAATGTGATGGAAACTCTTCAGCACCTGAATGTAGGGATAAAAGATGCCTTAAAAAGGAGGAAACTGCAGTGTGTTCTAAAATGAAAGAGGAAAACTTACATGATATAAAATTTGAAGATTTTATCAACTTGAAATCTGAGAATGTAAATATAAATAAGTTTAAAGAAGAAGGAAGTAGGAAAAGAGGTCGGAATTCGCAGAGTGACAATATCCCTGGAAGAGTAACTCAAAGGTATGCTTACCAAGCATGTTTTTAAGTCCGTGACTTGACTAGATATGAATTATATGTGAATGTGACACACTAAAATATTAAAACTTGTGTTATGTGTTCAGCTTTTCAGACATCCTTGGCATGGTGGCATATACAGGTACGTGAACATTGAGGGCTTTTGTCAAATCCCAGGTGCAAGTCAGAATTTGAACTTTAAAAATTACAAAAGTTCCACTCCAAAGTTCACCATTGGACTTGGTACTAAAGCTAGTTCACATTTTTGCAACCTGTTTTTCTAAGATCAACTTTATATTTTCCTTTATGATCATATATTCCACCACCAACATTATGTATTTCTTCTTACTTTCACACAGTATGTGTCTAGTGCATCAGGTAAAGAGTGCAGTCACGACTATATTGTTTGAAGTTGAACATTCCTGCATTGACAACATTTTCATGTAAGAAACTGTTTGTAGATTTTTGTAACTTTTGATATCAGCAGTGCTGTACTGAGTATTTATATGTATTTAAAAATGTATTGTTTATTTCTGAAGACTGTGTGCATGTAACCACAGAGTTGTAGTCACTTTACATTGTATCATCAACAATTTTATGAAGAATTATTGTTGTTAATGTTGCTTTGTTAAGTTTTGCATAGTAATATATAAAGATACTGAGATAAATTTACATTTAACAGGAATGAAAGCCAGAAAAAGTCACGGCAAGTAATTGAGCATGAGACTGACCCTAATGTTCTATCTAGAAGACAGAAGCAAATTGACTATGGTAAAAATACAGTTGGCTATGATCGCTACAGGCAACTAGTTCCGAAGTGAGTATATTTAATCTTTGTGGGGTTTATGTTTAAATATAGTGACTAACAGCATTGCAACTTTGGAAAGTTCTGATGATAATGTGGACAAATAATTAGGCGTTGTAAGATATTAAGGAGAACATCAAGAGAATTGCATTGTTATGAGGTAAAGCACCACGAACCGTAGTTTGATGAAGAATGCACAAAATTATTGGAAGAGGAAGCAGGGCTAAAGTGGAATGGTTGCAGAATCTAAGCCAAATAAATTTAATAATCTGACCATTTTAAGTAAGATGAACCTGGTAGAACTTTTGAAAAAGTGGGGGGATATCTGAAAGAAAATATTTTGAAACAAACAGTAAGAATAGAAGGAGCAGGATAAGAATGGCCATGAACTTAAAAGGAACATGGATAGGTGGAAGAATTTTTGTTGGCTGTTGAATGTAAATTGTGTAACCTGTTATTCTAATCAAATCTGTTTGTCTGAAATGTACAGTAATGGAACTTAATGGGTCACATTACCTTCTGGCCACTAGTGATGATGTTCATTTGTTGGGTGAAAACATGAATATCATAAAGTGCAAAATCTCTTCTAGACATTAGTAATAAGGATGATACAGAAGTAAACACAAAGAAGACCAAGTAGATTGTCTTGCCTCATCACTAGACTGCAGAACATTCAATTATAAATTAAGAGCAGACTAAATTTAGGGAATGTTTGCTGTCAGAATCTTTGTCTTATCATCTGTTGTCTGAAAATGTAAAGATTAAATGCACAGAATTTAATTATTTTTTTCTGTTATTTTGTATGAATCTGAAACTTGGTCTTTCATGTTAAGGGAACAGCACAGGCTGAGGTTGTTTGAGAAGAATATTTGGATCTAAGAGGGATGAAGCGACGGGAGGATTGAGAAAATTGCGTAATTGCATGAGAAGTGACATAGTTTGTACTCTAAATATTTTTAGGACAATCATGACCACTTGGAAGACCCAGACATAGATGGGAGGATAATATTAGAAAATAACTTTAGGAAATAGGGTTTGATCTAGCTCAATATGGACTGGTGGTATGTTTTCTAGTGAGTGAAAAACACCTTATGGACCTGTCCATGTCTGTATAAAGTGAAGCTTTCGCGGTGACCGAAGTTGATGAAAGACTCTCGGGTAACAAGCCGCGTCAGGTGACTGAATGGTGAACGAACCATTTCGAGAGCCATCTCATGCTCTCATCCTCAGGGCAACACGCACACTACATAGGACCAGTTTTGTTTCGCAGTTGCCCTGAGGATGAGAGCAGATATGGCTCTCGAAATATTGGCAGAAGAAATGGTTCGGTCACCATTCAGTCACCTGACGCGGCTTGTTACCCGAGAGTCTTTCATCTGTCCATGTCTGTCACATTTTTCCTATGGGGGTAGACAACCTGTATGACCAGGGGGGTCATTGCTGAACAGTGGGACTGGAGGTCCTGTTGTTTGAACACACTGTTATACGAAGGGAGGAGAGGTCAGTGGAGCATGTTGCAAAATTGCCCTTCTGCAAGAATGGCCTAAGGCCTGACAATGCCCTCAGATTGCAACAGTGCAAAAATGTTCTAAGGTGCAAGAGTGCCCTGGAATCACACAAGTGAAACAATTACTTATGTGATGTGGCATGCATGACACCTTTAGAATGAGTGTGTACTCCAAAGAGTACACCTTTCAAATGTTGTTGTAAACACTCAAATTATGTTGAGGAATCAGTTGTATTACCCTGTTTCAAAGACTGGCGTAAGTGGTCACTGTACTGTGAAGTTGTTCACTTCATTGCGTAAAAGTACTATGCCTTTTGAAACGTCCTTGTCCAATTAATTTACACTAGTGGTTTTTTTTTCTGAAATTTGGAGTATGTTGTATGGTTCTCTTTATATTGTTTTATTTTAAAAGCTTCGTTTGTTCAAAATAAAATATTTTAAATCGGAAAAAACTTGTTTGCTAAATTGAAAAAGAACTGAATTAGCGTAGGCATGGTTTGAATTTCTCTTATATAATTAAAGGTGTGGTATTATCTATGAAATATGACAGGGACAAGAGGACCAAGACACATCCTCAGACACCTCCGAAGCATATAAAATACAGTCGACGAGCTTGGGATGGCATTGTACGAGTCTGGCGACAGAGTCTGCATTTTTGGGATCCTCCATCGGAAGGAAAGTATGTAAATTTTTTGCCATTCAGGGAAAAAATTGTGTGTGTGTATTTCATTGCATACAGGACCCTTCTTTCTTCTGCTGTCATTTAGGACAGTGTTTAATTTACTTGTATTATGTTGTGATACCGATTTGCCTATATCCACGAGCACTGTACCTTGACCAACTTATTTGCTAATACCAATTTGGAAAAAGAAAATGTTAACAAAAAGTACTATGTTAAAGGAAAAAAATCAAAACTAATTTTAAATCCACATAATGGATTTTGTTGTGCCTACATGCATGTTTTTTTTTACAACAGAGATGTGCAAGTTGTATGTGGTGACATTTAATCCTGATAATTTTCTTCACATTATATCTTATTACAGTGAATTAAAATTACTATTTAATTGCCATATACAAAGCATACATCATTTGTTCTTTAGCATACGTGTGCATGTGCCAAGGCTTTTGATTAATTTTAATAAAATGTCGTAAATTTGTATTCTCTCCATTTCTCAATGTGAGACATTTCAAATTACTTGGGTTTCAAATTTAATACAAAACAAGTACTTACACATTGAAAGCACTACTTTTTATAATTAAGAAGCAATTAATACAGATGGATTTCCTCCTGCTTTACTACAAGATGGCAGCAGCTGCAGTCAGTGATCCATGTTTGTCTGCTTCTGTTAATGCGTTTCTCGATCAACCATTCAGTGTGTACAACATGGCATGAGCGTTTAGTGCAATTCTATTTCAAATATGTGTCTGTCAGAAAATGTCACTGAAAAATTCAGCACAAATTTCCAGCAGACCCATTTCTAAGTAGACTAAGTTTCACTACCTCATCAATTAGTGAAAAAAACAGGATCATTGCTGGACATGAGGCCAGGTAGGGGAATGAACTGTGCTGACAGAAGGCATCAGATGATATCAATGCTATACTTCTTACATAAAAAGAAAATTCCAAAAAACAATTAGTGCATAAAACTGATGTTTCAAGAACATCTGCTTGAAGGGCCATAACATTGTTAAACCTATGGTCATATAAGATAATGATATGATAGTTCGTGCTTTGAAGAAACATGTTCCAGTTGTGAGAATAAATTTTTGTAATTGGTTTCTTTGGTTTGTACATGATTGATAGATAAGTTGATCCACTATTAGTGCCCAGTTTCTGATGAAGTCTTGTGAATTCTCAGAACAGTCAGTATTTGAGTGCAGAAAATCAAGGATGTGTTTACAAATTTCTTTCTTCTTCATGATGAAGAGATTGGTGTTTGGTATGTGGTAAGTGCACACAGGATAACTGGACCTACCTTCACTGACTGCTGTCCCAGCGGAGGCGCAGCAAGTGAGGGCCCAGCTGGTAATCTGCACAGCCACTGCTTCATGGTCAAGCAGGAAGAAATCCACCATGTATACTGCATAAGCATTCTTCCATATTTTTAAACCCTATCCCAAATAAAAGAAACCATAAGGCATAAGCATTGACTGAACTATTGTCCGTGAGGCACGAGAGTAGACTTGGCCTTGTCAGCCATTGCTTGTGTGGCAGGGGGAACGTGGGTTCTGCGCATGCGCTGGTGATGTATTCCTTACCTAAGAACATTGTGCTATCAGTCAGTCAGTACATTAGCTCACGATGTACGGCCTGTATATGCTGCGGGTGTTTCTCGGTCCACTAGTAGCACAGAAGTCTACCCCACCTCCCTCAAAGATGCCAGGTCTACTCTCGTGTCTCGCGGACAATACCTCTCCCTCAACCGATTACCCAATATTTGATGGTCCTCTAAATTATATCTTTAGTTCTCCACAAATTAGGACACTTGGTATGCTTTGTTTCTTGAAGTAAGACTCTCCTATGTATAAATTTCAAATTTAATTAGTAAGTTGTTGTAAGTGGCCTTACTTACCATAAATGCGACACTTGATGCTTTTCCCCCATCTGCATTTTGAATTCGGGAACATGTGATGTACTTTTAACTTGCAGACAGTCACTTCGATGATAGTTTGTAAGTCTTGATCTATATTTTGACTTTATTTGGTTCACCTCCTTCACTACTACTACATCCTGAAAAGGTTTCCCTCATTTCTCAACAAGCAGTTTTGTAAAATGTTAATGCACACTTTTTTGCTTGATGCATTGGCATAGTAAAGACACTGGTCTCCTCCTCCTCTTCTTTCTTCCCCCCCCCCCCCCCCCCCCATTCTGTGACTATATGAACACAAATATGATCAGTACTGTCTTGATCCTTTAAAAGGAAGTGCTTGAAATGGCAGAAGAAACTGTTCTTCAATCTCTTTGATCTTGTCCTTGTAAATATCAGCCTTTAAATGCTAGCTGAAAAACTGAAAGAAATTCAGGCTCCTCAAATTTATGAAACGTGACAGAATGACTCGTCTGTGACATGAGGCAGTCACAATTTAACTCATTTTCCATGTAGAACTCCAGAAATGACTCAGATGAGGAACATTTCAGATTACATTCCAGGAAAGTATTGTGCAGGAAAATCCAAAATCTTGCTATGGTTCAGTGCCACAAGATCTCTATTTGGGGAAGTATCTCAAAGTTATGTATTCAAAAATAAACTATTTGAATTAGTTTTAGGCAAAGAATAACATAAAACTTTCACCCACAATTGAAATTAAAAGAAAACTGTTACAACTTAAGTCTCGTGTGTTTAAGGCTTGACATCAGTGACACGTTATCAGACATCTCTGTCGACGTGACGAGCCAAGCGAGTGAGGAAATGTCGGATAACGAGCGACGTGTCAGAGTCAAGAGGAGTACACAGTCGTCATCTGGCTCTTGCAGCCTTGAGGATGGAAATGATGACTACTTGATATTGGATGAAACCTACACAAATGATTGAAATATTGATTTCTTCCATTGGTAGCAGGTTGTCCTGTTTTGAATGTTACAGCAACCAAAAAGTTGAAATGTTGCAAATATATTTATTGTGTGTTTGAAACAATGTTAAGTAGGCATGCTCATAGTTAAAGGAAGTTGGAAGCTAGCGTAACAAAGTTAAAGTTATGCAACAGTGTGTGGAGTCTTGTTAAATGTAAATCAGCTAATTAAGAACTGGGAGTTAATTTGCTGGAGTGAAGGTCACTAAAGGTGCAAGTTAAGGCCACCAGGTATTATCTGAGATTGCTTAGTATGTGAACTGAGTGTCCAGTTAATATGATTTTACTTACTTTTGAATTAAATAAAATAGATTTATATAATTTGTTTCTGTATGCAGCATGTCTTTTATTTTAATGCAGACTCAACTGACTCAGGATATGGAATTATTATGAGATTTTGTTGGCATGTTAATAAAGATTTGAATTCCATAAAAAGAGAAAATTTCTTAACCAGCTAGGCAACTCTCAACTTCTCAGTAAAGACTCTACACCATGGAATTATATGTTTGTATACATTTTAGCCATTATTGAGTATAATAGTTGTATACTGTAATTTGTTGACATACTCACAAGCCATTTCAAGTTGGTTGGACTGGTCATTCTTGACAACCACGGCTTACTTTCTATGTGCGTAAAATATCCATTGTTCTCCTTCCATTGGTGTGTTAAGTGATTATACTTTTATTTCTAATGTATATGAAAACATTATCACTAAGTGAACCCAGAAGAAAGAAGTGAGGTTATAATGTCTTTTATTGGCTGAGAATTTCTGTGTAATTTGCTTTTCATTTGCATATATAATTATTTAATTTCTCTTATGTAGTGTACAGCAAATATTTTTCAGCATTTTCGTATGTATTTTTCTTTTAAAACTTGCACACACATAAGTGGCTGTGTGAATTCAAAAGTGCTGTTAAATATTTGTGCAAAAAATATTTTGTTTTGTCCTTTTGGTTGGTGTTGTATTTGCCTGTCAAACAAGAAAAATTATGGTCCAGAAGCACTACGAGGACATTTGTCTACCATCATAGGTGCAGCAGTCAGGTGGAAATTTTTAAACAGAATGTACTTATAGTTTTTAAGTGATGAACTGAGTGTAGCCACTGGACATTTATTATGATTTAAACTTTCATTTCACCGTGCCTAATCATCAACAGAAATTTAAAATAATAAGCATGGCAGTGAAGTGAAACAATTTTGTATCGTATCAGTGGCATTTTAATAGTTTCATGTCTAAAACAATTGTTTTTTGAGTTTTTATGCAAATAAAAGTAAATAATATCCTGTGACCATAAAATGTCTACCCATGTCTTAATCACATGAACCTTTTGTGAAGTTTTATGTCGGATACATTGTGTGGTGGTAAAAATTAATTACGATCTCATCGGCCAGTTAGGACAGCTATTTAATACTGAATGCTTACATATTCAGGATATCCCAGTTTCAAATCTTGATCTGAAGAACAGTATCAATTGTGGGTTTCCTCATTCCTTCAAGAAAAACGCTGGAATCGTGCTTTAAAATAGGCTACAGCTGTGTCCTTCCATGCTGTTCCCAATTCCTCATTCCAAACTGTTCAACATCCTGATGACATACAATCTGTTAATCAGAAAATGTGATTATATACCAGTAAACACACAAACGAAAGAGTATGAGTTCTCATGACAATAAAATGTCATTTACCCTTTAATTGTTGCAGTATTTGTCTTCGGAGTATTACAAATGTAAATGTCTGAGCAGTTATGTACATGGATTTAAATTTCTGCCCGAGAGAGAAAAAAATAAACAGCCAAACACACTGTTAAATGACATTGATCTTTGGGATGTTTTCATTGAAAGTGACATTTTGTACTGGATACAGAAAAGTTCCTCAGAGTATCAGTATGCAAAAGGCCCATTTGAGAAGTGAAGGTAATCTTTCAGAAACCAAATTAGATATTGTCCAATGGGTCTTTTTATTCACATAAAGCTAATGGTGAAAAATACAGTTGGGAATGGCTGAATGTGTTTACTGTCGTCTGCAAACTGCTCTCAAAATCATATAAGGTTGCTATTGATAGGTATAATGAGTGGCAAAATCCTGTTGTTTTCATATACCTGCACTCTCATAGGCATAGTTTTTGAGATTTTGTGGTGTGGTCGTTTCTAACAAATTATGATATGCTGCAAGTGAAGAAAATTTACAAAACACTGGTTCAAAATGATTCAAGCACTATCAATAAATGCCACTGAAATGTTTAATGTGTTCAGTGTTGGTGTCACCTCTGAATGAATAATATGCAATATTGTTAACAGTATTGCATGTTTACTAGAGGTTAACGCCACTTTCAATGGATATGGTTTGATATACTGTCAACATATTAATTGTGTTATTTCCAGATAGATTTCCAAAATAAGAAGGAATAATGGGCAAATCCTCTACTTCTCCATGTAATCACCAGAACAACTGAGATACACGTTACTATAATACACCACCTGTTCAGTTCCTGCACAGAAGAAACTAGGGCTCAAGTGTCTTCGCATACAGGCACGCCTCTGCTTTCACATCATCACATTTTCCTTTGAAGTGCTTCTTCAATGGTCCAGTGTGAAGTTGCTAGGCATAAGGTGCAGAGGCTACATACTGCTGACCTGTTCTGTAATGAATGTGATGGATGTTTGGACAAGTATTAGGAAAAATAGGGATGGAAGCAGTCACGTGTTATTTTATCATGAAAAGTTTTTGAATTTGACCAAGGGGCATAAATATAAGTCATAGCAATTTGAATTTTTAGGTGTTCTTCATGCTCTAGCATGAATCAAGATGACCTTATGGACCCATCCATGTATGCTGCGTTTTTCATAGTGAGACCTTTCTGACATTAGGGCAAGAATGACCTAAGACACAATTACCTCATATCACTGATGTGGAATGACTACCACCTACATAATGTATGAACACCTCCTGGATATCACTGTACTCTAAAGAGTACACCTACCCAGTCTTGCTGAGAATATCACTTGATCTCTGAAAGCATCAAAATATCTCAGTAGTTTATAGTAGAGATGTGTCCAAAAAATAATTTACATAGCTTCAATAGCTGTTCATTTTAAAGTGTATTCAGAAGTAAACAAAATATGGCTAGCTTCCAGACCATACATTATTGATTTAAATACAGGTATCAACAAAACAATAGACAGAAATTTTATGCACAACTTTTTTCACTCAAAGATTTAGTGATTAAAAATGTTCTTGAGTAGAAGGATCAGAAGAAATATTTTTCATTTCTTCAATTTGTATTATAATAAAGCCTGCATTCAAGTCCATATGGGCTGAACATATCTTCATACCTGAACCTGTCAAGGCATCCAGGATATCAGCAATGTCTCTGCATAGTTTACATACAAACTAGCATCCAGCAGTTCCGTATGAGTGGCATTGACAATGCATCCTTAGATCCTTGACTCATATTTTGGTTAGATTTAGGCCTGCCAAGCCTTTCTTTGGGTGCCCACATTGTTACAGAAAGAGGTTATACTGAATAATGAAGGCCGTTCAACCACGAACATTATAAAATCAAAGCACAGATCTCGACTCACTGACGCCCATCTTGACGATTGTTTGCGAGCAGCAACATCATCCTACACTCCCAAATTTGAAAAACTGGCCAATGAAATGCAGTGCCAAACATCACACTAACTTCCCACTTGAGTAATAATAATTGTACTTATGAAACTACGTATTTTTTATTGCACGGTTTCTTGTATCATTAAACGTTGTGTTGTTTTGTGTATTATTTGGTGTCCATAACTTATTTGTCCAGAGAAAAGAAAATTTGGCTTTGTTAATTGGTTGGTGCCCGCCATGATCTCAAAAACTCTTAAATGTGCCCGTAGGCACAAAAAGGTTGGGGACCACTGATTCAGGCAGTAACGCGAATAAATATCAAGTGACAACATGCTAGTAAAACATCCAATCCTAATCTAAGTTTTCTGGACATCAGCTATGGACTCTTGTGCTAAGTAACAAGAAGCTGTCTGTGCACTGCCCATGCTCCTGTGGAACACATAACTGTTTACTATACAATACTTTTATTTTCCGTCGTTTCACAGCATGCATAGGATGTTTCTTTTTGCACCACATACAGGATAGCTCTGATGCACACACAGCCTCCTATCCGATGGGCGCTGGGGTAAAGCAGTTCAAGCGTGTACATGACTATGCACCTCCTTGTAATATGTGCTCGAGTCTAAGTGCCTTGCCATGAAGGCACACAGAGAATGTGGTGGTGAAGTTGGACACATGTAAATATTTTTATTTCACGTTCACTTAAATTACACTGATGAGTTTCAAAATTAAATTTTCCCCACAACTTAGGTTCCCTATAAAATTTCCATAAAACCCATAGTTTAGAAAATAAAACATGGATGGACACACATAACCTCTGCATTATGCAGTCATTCTCAGCAGTTTGAAAGAGGCACTGCTAAATACAAGGAAGTGTCTGGAACTTCTGCACCTCTCACCCAGAATTTCACTGGTTTCAGAGTAAATGTTTTAAAAAGCACTGCTTTATATGAGATTCCAGGATACAAATTTAACAACTGTTCCACTCACACACAGTCCATTTTTAATGAACTAACCCAATTTCATCACATTTTCATTGTTGTTGTTTCTCGGCTCTACAACCTTGTTCTGGGTTTTTGCCTCCTCCTTTTCAGAGATTTCTTGGTCTTGGTTGTGAAGTAGTGAGTGACCAGCCCACTGACTGCACAATTTCTACTCAATCCTAATCTGACTGCGAGAGCCATCTAGCAGTTAACCAGGAGACGGGTAAGAAATGGCCACTGAATTTTGTTTGTGAAACATCTCGTATCATGCTCGTAAGGTTCTTTTACATGCCGTACATCTATGACATGGGACCGCCAGCTTTACTTCCCCTCTGAAGGAAGTTGTGCTACCGATTTTTATCACCCTTAAAAATCCATCAAACTCCGCCGGGATTGAACCCACGAACCTTGGGTCCAGTGGCTAGCACGTTAACCACTAGTCCACCGAGGGCACCACAACATTTTCATTACCACCAGTTAACTTAAAGTTGTCAAGAAACCATTCAATGTGGAAGCCAAATTCTTTGAACTCAGTTTGAGATCAAAAAATTGACCTTAAGTAAATGATTCACAGCAACCATATTTCTACAAATAACCATAATAATTACTCCATATTTTTCACAGCTTATATTTTTATTTTAAAGATGCAAATATGTATTACATGTAATGACAGTCTGCAATTCATCCTTAGTGCCTGCCAGTTAATATGTAAACTCAAGTCATGACTAAACTGTACAACAGCGGTTATCGAACTCCATTTCTTATTGACTCGTGGGCCACAAAGTTAATAAATAATGACAACTTATTGACACATAGTTTATTAACAATGCTACTAACTTACATGTTCAAACATTACTCAACAGTTCTCTTTAAATGAACCAGTCATTAGTAAGGTACCTGAAGCTGCTTCTGCTTGCTTAATATGTAAATTATCACACAATTTCTGCTATTGTGATTCGCATGCATCCCTCCAAGTATTCATCAGTGAGATGTATCCTAGTTCTTCATTTCACATTCTTCATTACGCTGAACAGCTGCTCAGAGTAGTGCGTATCACCAAACAATGACAACATTAACAAAGCCTCAGTTCTGATTTCAGGGTATTTTGTGGAATAAACATATTTTGAACAGAAATCAGTAAGTGATGAACTACAACACTTTTCCTTTAGTGTTAAGTCACTCCAAAAATTGGCAAATTCTAGTTGTTGGTTTCTTGATGTGGCATCAATTTTCACCATGAATGGAGAAGGGAAGATTTTTATTAATATTTCTCTTGCTTTGAAGTCAGAAAATCTGTAATTAAATTCCTCAAACTCCTGATGCAGTTACTATATTTTTTCTGAACGCATCCCACTTCCACTTACCTCTGTTAACGCTGGAAAGTGAGAATAGTTACTAACATACAGCTGGCATTCCCATAAGGCCAGTTTCATCTGAAAACCTTAGTTGGAATCATAACTGGTTTGAACGACTTGCCCATTGCCTTGAAAACAATTGAGCTCATTCTCACCCTTTTTTGCTGGCATACCACAAAAACTAATTTAACACATTAAATTTACCACTAATCAAATGCGTTCAGGGAAAACTTATTAATGTTAATATTAACTTTTGACGCGTCCATGATGCGAGGGTCTACCGAGGAGCAGAGATAAGCAGCGACCATTTCCTGCAGATAGTGAGCCTAGACCTCGAGGTGAGAGCCAGGGTTCAGAGAAGAGTTCCCACTAAAGAGAAGATCCGGAGCTACAAGCTGAGATATGAGGCAGTGAGATCAGCTTACAGAGATGAAGTAGCCTGCATTTTGCAGGATGAGGCCAACAAGGGAGACCTGAAGAACCAATGGCAGACTTTCAAGAACAGATTGATTAAAGCAGCGAAGACAGTTTGAGGAGTAACAATTGTAGGCGGTAGAAGTAGCAAGAAAACTGTGTGGTGGTCAGAAGAGGTAAAGCTGAAGAAAGAGAGGTGGAAGAGGTACTTGACAATGAGAACTGACCAAGACCTAGAAGAATACAAGATCCAGAATAGAAAGGTGAAGGATGTAGTCAAAGCTGCCAAGGAGAAGAGCTGGGCTGAATTTGGAGAGAAGATGGAGTCGGCACACAAGGAGAAACAGAAGTTGTTTTACAGAACCGTGAAGTCCATGAAGAGAGAAAAGGAGTGTCCAATTAAGTTTGTCAAAGACAAGAGTGGCAGCTTGTTGCGACAAGACACCCAGATCATGGAAAGGTGGCGGGAACACTTCAAAGAGCTACTGAATGACGGTGCAGAAGCCGATGCAGTAGAGGCTGACAACACTTTCACTCTGGAAGATCCTGGCAGGGGCATCACGTCAGGAGAGCTCAATAAAGCTAATCAGAAAATGAAGCTTGGAAAGGCAGCAGGGTACGACTGCATCACGCCAGAGATGGTGAAGTACATGGGTTCTTTGGCAGAGAGCAAGTTCCTGGAGCTTCTGAATCTGGCATGGCGATGGAAGAAAGTACCTCAAGACTGGACACTGGCTGTCATTCTCCCTCTCTTTAAGAAGGAGGACAACAGAGTGCCAAAACCACTAAGGGATCTCTCTACTCTCAGTACCAGGGAAGGTGTATGCCAAAATTCTGGAGGTGAGACTGAGAGCACGAGTGGAGTGAAGTCTAGAGGAGTCGCAAGCAGGGTTCAGACCAAACAGGAGCACTCAGGACTGGATTTTCACCAAGTGCTCTATCTGCGAGAAAGCCATCGAGTACAGCAGGGAGCTTTACCTAGGATTCATCGACCTTGAGCAGGCTTTTGATCGGGTCCAGAGACAAGCACTATGGAGGGCTCTGGAGGAGAAGAACATCCCACACCACCACCATCCAAATCCTCTATTATAATAGCTCAAGCCTAGTGAGGACTGGAAACTTGGAGTCACAGCAGTTTAACATGAGGATGCAACCTTAGTCCTTTATTTTTTATTACCCTGATGGACATAGTAACGAAGAACCACAAGTCACGGGCTGAACAATGCAAGATAGGGAACTACAAGCTACGACCAGTTTTCGTGTCAGAGTTGCTATTTGCCGACGACATCGTTGTGGTGGCAGAAAGTGCTGAGAAGTTGGAGTACAATCTTGGCATGTGGGAAGAAGAACTACGCTCGAGAGGTTTTAAAATCAATATAGCAAAGACCAAGACCATGGTGGTTGAAAGAGCGACACTGCACACCAGATCAGGCTGGCCGGAGAACCACTCGAGCAGGTCAGCAGTTTCAAGTATCTCGGAAGCCATTTCCACAAGGAGCCCAGACTGGACACAGACATAAACGAGCGTACTGCAGCAGCTGGTCAACTGTTCTACTCGATAAGGCAAGTCCACCTACCTTCCCAGCTGATGTACGGTTTGGAGTCCTGGTGCCTGACCGAGCGAAGTCGAAGTCGACTGCAAGCTGCCGAAATGCATTGCCTGCGCAAGGGAGAGGGGTAGACTCGCAGAGATCGCATTCACAACCAGAAGATTCATTCGAATCTGGACATGACCCCACTTAGAGTAAAGGACCGGCAGAGTCAATACGCTGGTCTGGCCATCTCATGCGAATGCCAGTTGACAAGAGCCCCGTAATTAGTGCACAAAGGCAGAGATGAGGGACGCAGATCAAGAGGTCGTCCCCGCCAGAAGTGGCTTGTCGACGTTTCAGATGCCCTGCAGGAGCGAGATCTCAGTCTCACAGAAGGAAAGAGAATAACAACGGATAAAAAGAAATGACACTTCTTAACCTTCGATACTGATAGGTTCAAAAGGACGGCTTAAGCAAGTAAGTATTAACTTCTGACTTTCTTACTTAGTTCGCATACCACTCAACGTTGGTTCGCGTACCATAGGCTAAGAAACACTGCTCTTAAGCACAGATTAATGAAAAAGCTTTCATCTAGCCTTCTAACATGTAACAGGCAAGGAAACTGATGGAATGACAAAGCATACCAACACCTTCAGCCTACATAAATTATCCTTCAGGACCTCTGATGTTCAGAGCACTCCTTAGGTCTTCTACACATTTCATTATGGAATCCAATTTTTCATTCTGTTTCCTTTCTAATTCCATCAGCTTCTCTTCAACTTTAACAGCAATCTGTCTCTCACATTCACTAAACCTCTGATCGATGTGATGTTTCAAGGCATCTAAACTATGCACCAATTTCAAAGAAATGTCCATTTCTTTGCTACATCCAATGTCATTTGTGAAACAGGCTTCACCGTCACTTTCAGGCGTCTCTTTCATTGGTGTTGAAAGTCCAGGAAATATTTCTGTGAGACATTTTGAAACACTCTTGGCTCTAGCACTCAGTGGAGTTTGTTGTGCAAGATATTCAGATTCAAATATCTTCATAAGAATTTGAGGATCTGGACCCTTTATCTGAGTTTTACTGGTATCCAGAAATGGACCATAAAGCTGAAAAAATTTCTTGCATTTTTCAGCCTTCTCTGTCAGCTGATGGCTTGAATCTTTCAGAATTCTGTTCACATTATGAAAGTTTACTGACAAATGTGGTGAAATAAAAGATTCTGCTTTCTCAATTGTAACATGGATCCCATATAGCCACATCTGATCCTTCCTTTTTAATCGAGCAAACTGAAACAAATACAAACACTTAGCTCAGGTATGGGCAACTGTAGCACATGGACCTTGAGATGAAACTCAAAGGTCATCCTGCGCCAAATTGCCAAAATAGTGCAGCACAAGTTGCCAAAATCAAAGAAAGACTTGAAAGCAATTTGAAATTATATACACTGCAATATTTAGAGAAAAACAACGAATAATCCAACTACTACCTACATCCTTCCTGCTTGTATATACCCTGCCATATAAGCATATGACACAGAACTGACTACAATGCAACCAGCAGCACATGAATGCTTCATTACTTCACTGTGAACCACTGCACAAATGAATCTCTCAATCTCGCGCTTGAACTTTCCTTGCCTGATGAAATTCCCAGAAGCATCCACATGGTTGTCTGTATAACTTTATATCCTTGTAAAATTTTATTGTTTTCACAGCGGTGAGTATGAAGATTGCTGCCGTCTTCTGGGTTACTGCACCGTGAAGTCTGGTAGATGTCTAGCAACGTTTCAGAGGTCATGTTGTCTCCGTCATCAGGGCTACACGGCTAAACAACCCAGAAGACAGCAATCTTTAAATTTTTGGCTTTTGGGGATCAGCCACATCACAAGTTTCCCATATTTTGACAAACACTGCAGTTGCCATCTTCAGGGTGAGCATGCACTGTGTTTAATGAACCAACTAGTTAGACACCTTGAGGTTGAGTCCAGAAAGGTTTGGATCATACTGGTTGAATATCTCTGCAAATGGGGTGGGAGGGGGGAGAGAAGGGTTAATCACTTTGGCTGAATGTCCATGATTGAGGGAAGAAGACCATGTCCCTTTTAAATTGTAACCTGCTAGCATTTGCCCCCACACTTGAAGAAAATTAATGAAAACCTCACGATGACTGAACAGAGTTACTAATCACTATGCTGACTTCTTATAGGCTGAGCATCAGGAATCCTCAGATAACCGTGAGTGACATAAGACAACATTTAGGTGGCAAGTTCTTTTCAAGCTGCCAAACTAAAGGGTTCCCCACATCAACAAACTTCGCATTGAACCTCTCAGACATGCCTCTGATGTGGTCAGCAAAAAATGGGAGTCCCAAATCCTCAACAATTTGCCTGTTACTAACAAACCAATTTGCATTGTGCATATTCTTTTAATACAGTGTGTTTCAAAAGTAGTTTTACAACTTGAGGGCGAGATATTGGTGAACTGATAGGAGAAACATATAATTTCAGAAGATAGAAATGTAGTCAAACACTGCAAGTTTTATGTCCATCAGACTTTTATGGTTCAATGTGACTTCCATTTGTTAGATATCCCATCTGTAGTCAATTTCTTGCCACACGAGGTGTAGCATCTCCGGTGTCACTTCAGCAACTGCATCGGTAATTCGAGTTCGGCCACATCTTTAACAAATCCCAAGAAGAAAAATCTAAAAGTGTTAGATCCGGGGAAGGAGGTGGCCGTGCTATTGGTGCGGCCCGACCAATCCACCGACCTGGGAAACGGTTGTTGAGGTACTCGCGCACTTCTCCGAGGTAATGAGGGGGTGCACTGTCTTGATGAAAGTGAATGCGTTCATCCTAGTCATCTTCGTCAAGTTGAGGAATGAGGAACTGTTGGAGCATGTCCAGATACACAATGCCGGTAATGGTCTTCTCCATGAAAGAGAAGGGGCCGTACACTTTATCTTTGCTGAGGGCGCAAAACACATTAACTACATACTACAGTTTATGTGCATGAAACTTGATGTGCTTGGCTAAATTTGTGCATTTAAAAATATTGCGCACATCCTTTAAATAAATTTATATTCTCCTGCAAAGTTGTAAAGCTACTTTTGAAACACGGTGTATAACATGCATCTGTTTGGCAGATTTTGTTCAAATTTCCATTGCTTACCTTGCAACAAAGATTTACATATGTGAAACATTTTCCACTGTCTGTTGACAAACTTGTTTTCCCTGCCGTCACAATGTTCAGAAAAGCAAAACATCATCTGTATTATAAACTGCCTTTACCTTTGTTTCTTTCCCTTATTGCACAGAAATTTTTCATTTGTCAAGGTGCCTAACATGACAGTTTTCTAGTATTTTATAATTGAAATCTCCAAAGAAATAAATTAAATAGATGCTTTCAATATGTTAAGACAGTATATGACAATGAAGTAAGGTGTCATGAAGAAAAGGTTGAGAGCTCCCCAGAGTACCAAAAATTACCTTCAGGGTACATTCAGAAGATGGCTGGGACAGTTCAGCTTCTGCTATGTATACTGACATATCCTCACATTCATCAAAAAACTCGGCATGACAAGTTGTCATGTACTCTTCACATTTTCCATATACTTCAATTATTCTTGCCTGTAAATAAACAAATCAACTCACACTCACATCAACATATAATTACAGTAAAACCTCTCTAAGTTGGACACTTGGGGTTCCACGAAAATATGTCCAACTTACAGAGGTGTCCAAGATAGAGGGAGAGAGAAAAATCAGATTGTCGTCTAATGACAATATAATCTATTTACTTACATACACTAACTACTGTAGGCTTACTTGAATTAAGAATTAATGACAATAATAATCTTTTGAAGCCCACTCCCATGCATTGCACATTACACCTCAGCCTCGATAACATTTTCTAAAGTTTATTACACCAATTTTCGCTTCCCCATCGCAAAAAAAAATCCATTTCTGTTAACAAAGTCAGAACTCAAATGCAAGCACAGAACTGATGGAATTAAAGCTGTGTCTTCTGCAATACTGTAGTTCAATTATGGGTTCAGCAAAAGAACAGTTAAACACTTGCAATGCATTCCAATGATGTGTTCAATGTCCATAAGATAATCCTCCAGAGAGGAGGCATTCATCAGTCAGAAATTCAAAATAACAAAATATGTAACTGAAAAAGTATATGGGTATACTGATACGCATACGCAGTTTTCCATCAAATCCAAGTCCAGATATTCGACTCTTCTGTTTTGTGCCCCGATAACCAACAAGTACCAAGATTACCTCTCCCATCCAGCACTTGACTGCCAATAATGCAAAAGCTTAATTTTATATCTATTACAATAATGTGGGATTTGTCAGCAATAAAAAGTACATGTTCAAGTCCCAGATTTACGCTTTTCTCCCGTCTGCTCTTCTGAGGCTTGTCATGAACTTCACAAGGCTGACAAATTCAACATTTGCGTGCTTACTCATCTTTGCCAATTTTGTCAAAAACCTTCTCTATCAACACTGCCGCTTCATCCCTTGGCTATAATTATATGAGATATGTCTTTCTAAAGTCATTAAAAACAACAAGAACAGTATAAAATTTGAGTCTGCTGCTGACAGAATATCCAGCCCCTATACCTGATTCAGCAGTGTTTAAGACACAGAATAAGCACCAGGATATGGAGTGTTGGCCAGTGAGTACAAGAGAGCCGTTAACCAGAACAGAACACATATGCAGTACTTTCATTGTTTTAAACGTATTATATTGAGAAAGCTGCCACTGTACAAGTCTTTTGCTAAAGTATAGGAATAAATAAACCTATCAACCTTTATCATTAGGCATAAGCTTAGTAATATTCTTTATAGAGCAAAACTGCCTTTCTATTTTGAAGCATCAGGGGTACAGCTGCATCTTGGGATGGCAAAGGCTGTCTACTGATCATTCTGTGAACATTGGTCTCAATCATTCCAACTAACATGTTATGTACTGTGATGTTAACAAATTATTCTGCTGTTAATTTTTTGTGAAAGGAGTCGTGTTTACAAAGTAGTAATAAGTGGATGCAGAACAAATGTACATAACACTAAAATAAATTCCGCTGTAAGTTCAATGTTTATAGAACAAGTAGTACAGAGTCACCACCTCATGTGTCACCAGAGGAAGAGTCAGGGTACTGTTTACCTCATCTCTCATACATTATGGCATCAGGTAAAGGATGGAGCGTAGTTGCTGGCTTGTACTATTAAGGATCTATGGAATGTAAATTAATTCTACTCTACTCAAAACAGTGAAAAGAAAGCAAAGCCTTCTTGTAGTTGTTCAACAAACCAAAAATATACAAAAATATAATCGTAAGTTTCAGGATAAGGCAGAATGATAAAGACTGCAAATTGAATGTTAATAATTTCAGTACATATTCACTTCCTACATCTACAAAGATGTTAAATGCTACTTAACTTTCAGACTTGTTAATGTAATGTAAGTTTATTGATACTTAAATATTCTCACCTCAGATACAATGGCTACCGTCTTTATTTGCCAAACTTTTATCAAACTGAGTTTCAGTTTCAAGTAACACGATGCATCATCTTGGTTTTTCAAAAGAATGCAGGTATCCAAGCTTACTATATTTTCTAGGTCTTCCCTATAAAAACATACAATACAAAATTTAACATTATGTCTGGCTGAAGGTAAGACATCACATAACAAGAATTAGTTCAATATTCTCAATGAAAGCAAATTACATGTTACTGAATTCACCAATCAACTACTTTTCGTATAACTGATAGAAAATTTTATATAAATTATCCCCGTTTAAATTTTGGGACGCTATAATTTAAAATGTTGTTGACTGAATCATTACTCCATTCTGTCTACAAATCTGGTGAATTCTCTCATCATATCAGAAATGAAGAAAGGTAGATAGACATGAAAATAATTACATAATATTACAATCATTTCTGCCACAGTGAAGCTTTTAAACATTTGTCTTTAACTCATTCGGCACTGTGATAACCTACTGCCACTTAACCTACATGAGAGAAGAATGAAAACATTCTGAACTTAATATAAATAATATTCAGAGTACTTTAGGATAACGTTAACTGTGTACCACTGTAAACAGTTAAATGTAATCAGTTTTCTTACTTTTTTCCTCTTATAAAACTTGTGCCCAAAGTAACCGTATTGCTTATACATTTTTTGTTTGCGACTTCCCAAGAACAGGACACTTCTAAGCCGGCATCTTCGACTTTCATATCTGAACGCAACATTGTACACCATACAATACGAAGCTACTTTAACAACATTCTAAAACATTCTCTTTCTGTGCAATAATAAATAATATGAATCTTTAACAAAACACTTTAGTACAAACAGCCTATCAAATAAGAACCGGAATTATCGCTTGCTTGACACCACCTTCCTTGAGAGTTTCTGAATAATAATCTGTTGACGTAAAATTAAGATTGCGACCAACATTCCTGTTATCTGTGCACATTATAACTTTGACATTTCAAATTGGTTGACTAAGTCCAATTAGAGACACACTGACGAGTTTCATTTATTTGAATAATAACATCATCCACATCTATGAAGCAATGATCTGATATGTTACTGACGATTACCACAATGTAACCTATATCCAATTTTAGAACACACACGACGACCTTGTATCAAAGTCAGACCGGTCACTTGAAGTTGCACGGTTCTTGGGAAGTCACTTCATTTGAAATTTGAAAGTAAAATGTCCAAATACAAGATTGTTATGGTAAGACATGGAGAAAGTGAATGGAACAAGTTAAACCTGTTTTGTGGCTGGTATGATGCAAATTTGAGCGACATAGGTAATATTGTTGTATTATTGTGCCTGTTTCATAGTCTTTAACGTTATGAATTGCCGTGGTTTATTTGACGACGTCAGTAGTTCTTATATTTAACATTAAATGACACTATGATTAATGAATAATGAATTCGAAAGTATATGAAAGGAAGCTATCGTGACCTGATTTTAGGTACTATCCCGGCATTTTCCTAGAGAGACAGAGGAAAACCTCGAAAAACTCAGGCAGGATTGCCGGTCTCCAGACCGATGTTTGAACACGATACCTGCGTGTCAATTTGCTGGGAGTTTGGTTATTTCGTAGTATTATTCCTCACTGTATGCAAGTTGTGATTATAAAAAACTGTGGAAGTTGTTCCAGTGACAGATTCAAATAGTATCCAATTTAAATCTGTACCAGGACTTGCCACCTTAAAGAGTTTCTGTGGCTTTTACAAAAACTTGCTAGCGAATGGACACTGCAGTCTTTCAGTTTACTGTTCATAATCACACAGTACTAAAATTGGTAAGTTCTTAACACATGAGCAGTGTTTCTCTCAAGACTTCCCATTCTAAACTTATTTTTAATCCTTTTAAAATCACAGGATACTAAGAACTTTTCATTGAAAGTGTCAGGTACAAGGTTTTGATAATTAACTGCCAACATTATGTTCAGTGTTTTGTACATCCTCACTGTTCACTTACCCATCAGCATATATGCTCATGTTCCCTCCTCCAACAATATATTGGCTGAAGAAGGCAGTTTATAAGATTTTGATGAAGTGAGATTCCAAGTACTAATAATACCAACAGTGTTGACCTCTACACTACACACACATGAGGGATATGGTCTGTGTGTATACTTCAACTGAGACTGATTAGTTGCCATTTATTTTATCAGTGGCATCAGGAGGGCATTACTGCACACTGTGTGCTTAGTTCTTTTAATTTATAACCATAATATTGTGGAAAGTGAACCATCTTCAGTGGTTGATAAAATCCAACCAAATAATTGTACACAGTTCATCTAAATGACATTATGTCCCTTTCAGTATCTCAATTATCATCATAGGCTTTTGTCATCTTGGGAGGATTATTGTGTGGAATCTGAAACAGCCAGTAGTTTCTGATAGAACTGTATTGTGACAGTTGGCAATGCCACAGTTTTAGATGGTGCCGGTGGAAAGAGATATTTACATCTCTTACAAGTCCTGTATGAAATATGAGAGGGGCAGAGTGGAAGAGATGGGGAGGCAACACCCATTGCTTACAGTTTCTAATATTGCACAAATGCTGTTTGAAATGTCATATTTTTACAGATCGTTCTGTCTTACTGTGAATTTAGAATGCAAGTTCCTCAGAAATTCCCTAGGCATGTGATTTAGACAAATCATAGTGATCCTTATTCTTTATGTTGCCTTTCAGGCCCCAAATGTCAACTCTTCAAGAAGTGGACAGACTAAAACTATATAAGAACCACATATTAACTTTGAACACTTATTTGAAAGTTACCTGATTTGTTTCCAGGTAAAGAAGAAGCTGTGTCTGCAGGCCAGGCCTTGAAAAAGGAAAACTATAAGTTTGATATAGCCCACACTTCAGTACTCACAAGAGCACAGAAAACATTAGAAGCTATTCTGAAAGAAACTGGACAAACTGATTTGCCTGTTGAGAAGTCATGGAGGCTTAATGAGCGGCACTACGGTGGACTGACTGGTTTAAATAAGGCTGAAACTGCTGCCAAATATGGGGAGGAGCAGGTTAGTTTGGGTGATTATGTCATGTTTGCTCAACATCTGGTGCTTGTAACCGTTGGTATTTTTCAGAAAAGAGTCAGTTTGAACTTAGCACTGAACTGTAAAACCAATAAATCTTTTTTTTTTTTTGTAGGTTTTGAGGTTTTTGCAGCAATATGAATATAGATGATGGTCTTCTGTGTTGCTGTATACAAGTATTTCAGAGGAACAGGGCTGAAGCGGGGAGTGTTTGGAAGTCGGTGGTTTATGTAGGATCAGGCTGGCAAAGTTGGCCAGTCAGAGCCATAGAATGAGGAGGGGAATTGGAGTCATGTCTGGATCAGCACAAAAGATTACTTTTCAGGACACAAGATAGGTCCTGAAGGTGGAGGCAGTATGATCCTTCTTTGGTATACAACCAAGAGACTGCATGGAGCTACAACCCCGTAGACCACCGTCTATACTTGTCTTTGTCATGGTAGCTACTGCACCATTAATTGTCTTCCTGTGTAGCTGTGGCTCTTTCATGAAGTTTTGGTTCCTTGTGTCACTCCCTGAAGAAAGATAAATCAGTTTTGATATCTGTTGAGATAATCATTCATTAACATTAATTATACATGAATAGGAATGCAAGCCCCTGTACTACATGACTGCTGGCTGAATTTTAACTCCAGAGTTGATCTTTAGTGATCCGCTGGTTTGACATAGACAGCACACGCTGCAGTACACTGATGACAAAAGCTCATAAACATGACAAAGCACTGACTATTACTTTGTTGATAAATCTTTTACTTGACAAAAGATAATATGGATAATTCAGTGACTAATACAAAATTAGTCGACTTCTTTCGTTCCAGGTTAAGATATGGCGACGTAGTTTTGATGTACCACCTCCTCCTATGGAAGAGAACCATCCTTATTATGATAAAATTGTGAAGGATCCAAGATATGCCAAGGAGCCTAAGCTCGAAGAATTCCCAATGTTTGAATCTCTCAAACTCACAATACAGCGGACGTTGCCATATTGGAATAATGTCATTGTTCCCCAAATAAAGGAAGGAAAGCAGATATTGATTGCTGCTCATGGCAACAGTTTAAGAGGAATTGTCAAGCATCTGGATGGTAAAATTTTTTTGTAACTTGTGAAGGGTTCTGTGGTTGGTTTTTTTTTTTTAATCATGTTGAACTGAATTTATTTGCAGTTGTCAGCTTACATAAACCAGACGTCAAAATCTAAACTTAAGATAACTTACCCTACATTTTGGTAGCTGCCTTTTCTTTCACACCAGACATGTTGAACCACCATGGCTTAGTCATCTAGAGATTGAAGGGAATTAACCATGTTCAGCAATTGAAATATTTCATGCACATACATACTGTGATCATTGGTGATGGCATCATGGTGCTTCTTCAATTACAATACAGCATGAAGAACACTTTAAAATTTTGTACGTTTAATATTATCAACTTTTAGTTCAGCCGTATTTCAATATCATGAACACTGAAAATAAAAGGATGAATTAAGTTACTGTGTGTTGTGTGAAATATGTAATATGATTCATTTGCAATAATGCAGTAAGTGAAGATCGGACGGAGAGAGCCAATGTTCTGTGGGGCCGAGAATGAGAAAAAGAAAGGTTCTTCTGAGCTGTGAATGAAGTGAGGTGTAATTTCATTTTGAAAGTGAGGGTTAAATATTTATTATAATTTTACATTGGTAATTTTCAGGTTTGTCTGATGAAGCTATAATGGGTTTGAATCTTCCAACTGGTATTCCGTTTGTGTATGAGCTGGATGCCGACTTAAAACCTGTTGTGTCCATGAAGTTCCTGGGAGATCCAGAAACGGTGAAGAAAGCGATGGAAGCAGTGGCTGCACAGGGCAAAGCCAAGTGAAATGTAATGAAGGCTGGACAAGGATAGATGAATAGCTTTTTGGTGTTACAGTATGTTAATTTTTTTTTACCTTTCGGTATTGTAAATACCACACAGATTGGAGTTGCCTGACTGAAATTGAATGATACTGACATAAAAACATATATATATGGAAATTGTAACATGACTATTAGAAGAAAAAGTGTTCCCAATTGATGTTTTAAATTATTTGTTGAAAAGTGTTGCATATTCTGTAGTGAAGTAATTAGAACCCAGTTCGATAAACAGTGAACCATGAAGCTACTTATGTTTTTATACCACCCATTAAAGAAATCCTTCACCGTGTAAGATTTGAGGTCTTCACAGCGGTGAGTATGAAGAATTCCGTCTTCTGGGTTGTAGGCACATTCATCGCCCTGATGACGGGGGCAGTATGACCTCTGAAACGTTGGTTAACATCGACCAGACTACACAGCACAACAACCCAGAAGACGGAATTCTTCAAATCCTTCACCATTTTCCTAAAAAAATTTACTCTTCCTAGGGGGGAAAATGGAAGTCTGTATTGAAAGCAATATTAAATGGAGAACCAGAGTAACCATAAATGAACATTTCCTTGCTGCTATATTGACCACTGGTCCTTAAAAGGTAAACAAGGATTCCACTATACCAGGGGTTGTCAACCTTTTTATACCTACCGCCCACTTTTGTATCTTTGGTAATGGTAAAATTTCCCTACCGCCCACCACCATGAAAGAGGTACAGCTCAAAGACTGAGTGATGGCTGGTGGTAAGCCCCGCCCTCGTTATGCGCACTATACTCGTGCCTTTGATACGGAGCTCATTCGTTGCTCCCTCGTCCACGAGTATACTTCGAGTAGTGTTCGGTGAATTATTATCTATATTTAAAGTTTAGAGATGGAATTGCAAAAGCATATTTTAAAAAGTCAAACTGGCGAAGTTGTTAGCAATGTATTTGATATATGGAGGAAGAACCAAATTTGTAACAATGGACAAAAACCCTACACCGCCCACCATGAAAAATTGAATCGCCCACTAGTGGGCGGTAAAGACCAGGTTGACGACCCCTGCACTATACAAAGAAATCCAAATTTTATATTTCTTGAGGGAGGAGGAAATTTGAACACTTTTCTGCTTTTTTTTTTTTGAAGTCTTGGTGATTTTCTGACCTTCACCATCCAGGTATGATGAAAGGTGGAAGTTCTCGCAATGCAGGGCTTATTTTAATCATTGATACGATGGTGATAGCTGATGGACCTGCAGTATTATGTGGTCTCTGAATTGTGGTGATGATATGGTGCTTCCCAGGCTGACTTTGTCAGAAGTTATAATTAGGGAAAGTGTGCAATACAAGTTCACACAAACCCTGCTAGTCTTCAAACTGTAGCTATTTGCATAGAGTGTAGTGCCTTACCCTAAAATCAGTAAATCCCCTTTTTAAGATTAAATGGAAGAAACTAAGAAAGAGGTGGCATGATGAAGTGAAGCACAGACAAGATTATGAGATTGGAGAAAAATACAACTGACCAAATCTTGATGTTCAGCATTATGTGAAGTCAAAGGTCTTCTTCACATTTTTGGAATCTTGGGCTGGCATCAGGACAATAGACATCCAGCGCCAGCATAATGTGACTCTTGTGTCGGAGTCCTTTAGTGTCGAATCTCGTCTTTACCTAATTTGAGATTTTGTAGTATGGTGTCCCAATGCTCGTCGTCGCTTTATTTGGGTTCTTGAGTTGGCGTCAGTTAGATATGGCACTGTTCTGCAGCGTTCCAAGGCCCGTCTTTCCTGTATTCTGAAACCTGTTGGTGTCGGATCAAGATGTCGCGGCGCTCGGTGTCGTGTGGCGTCCTGAGGGTCGTCTCTTCACTTTGTTCTGAATTTTGTGTCAGCGTCATGACGATATGTGTCAGGTTAGTTTTGGTTAGTTCACACTTGGATAAGTTGGATTCGTTTGCTTTGTGACGTTGACATCTCTTATGGTGTGTGAACATTTCTGTCTTCCTTTGACAAATTATGTTCCACTTTATATTGACAATGTCATAGATTCCTTGAGGGACTTTCTGTCCCTTCCTATTATCTATCTGCCTTCCTTTTCTTTTCTTCAGTGATGGGCAACAAAAGAGTAGGTTTTCATAGCAGTGAAAATGTGGATTTGTACCTTCCTTTGACAAATAACATTCCAATTTTAAATTGACAGTACCATTGCTTTTTGTGGAACCTTCACTTCCTAACATCTGCCTGTCTTTTTTTCAACGATGGGCAACAAAATGACATATATGAGATTTGAGTTTTCCATGGCAGTGAAATTGTGGATTGTGATGTCATATCATGCTGTACTTGGTTATTAATGTTACTAACAATGATACCCATGCACAAAGCTACATGTTACCACAACCCAGAAGACCAATTAATAACAAAATATCGCAAAGCCTAGATCTAATGAAACAAAGCTCTTAGTTGTTCCAAATCCCTACTGACATATGAAACATTTGTTAACTGCTACCTTCTCCAGATTTTCACCAGAAGCCTGCTTCATATGTGTTAATGTGTGCCAAAGTTTCCCTGGTTCACTCCGACTGTTTTTTTTTTAAATGACCTGTTCTTCAGTGCCTGAGCATCTTTTCTACCTGTACATAGGACAGCACAACAGAGAAAGATGCAGACAAACATCCATGCCTTGAGTGGGATTCGAACCCACGATCCCAGTGACCAAACGGCACAAGGCCCACGCCTCAGACCACACGGCCACTGTGACTCTGCCTGAGTGATGAACATAAACTTCTATCATATTGGTATTGGAAAGTTTAACACCTATACTACAGGGCTGCTGGCCAGCGTTTAACAACTTGGTGGTAGACTATTGTGATGCACAGCCATTCGGATCATGAATATGAAGTGGCACATAATTGATAAAGGTTGACAATGTGGTAAACGCTTGATTGGGCATCTAATTTATGACATGGTGAAAGACTGATTTAAAATATTCTGATAAATGTAACTTGTAACTTCGTAAACTTTCTAACTGATACATTAAAACACAGAAAAATATCACATTATTTTACTCATTAAAATCATGGTAAGAATGGGGTGTATAATAAACTTCAGCATATATCAGGATACTGTGTACAATCAGTTTCCTTACAAATGTCACAAGTGTAAACTTCTATTTATTTTGCAAGCCTTTGCTACTCACTGAAATATATTTATAATCATCAGTAGTATATAATTTTACAATGACATAAGGAAACTATACTGCTTTTATCTATAAAATTTATTGTAAAGAATATTCTTCTCTCATAAATGGAAGAGTAAAATATTTTTATTAAAAAAATTGTGCAGGTTGTGAAATACCAGTACCAAAAAAGAACCAATTCTACCAAAATAGGTTCCCAGTATAGTTCTACCAACTTACATAAAAGTGAGGAAATAGGCTACTAGACATCAGTGGAATCAGAACTGCCAGGAATTTTATCACAGAAATGTACCACTTCTTCTTTCTGAGAAGAAAAATATGCAAAGAAAACTACATTCATTACAATATAGCTCAGCTAGACACCGTCTATTATCCGAGATATGTTAATACTACATACTACAGTTATATTTAGTATATAACATATAATGTATTATAATGTAATTAATTGGACAGTGTCTATTATCTGACATATAGTTAACCTTTATTATGTGGAAATAGATGATTTAAATCCCATAGAATTCAGCTGTTGACTGGACTTTTATGTCCAGGGTTAACTACAAAGTAAAACAATGAAATGGTAACTACATTTACCGCTCAGTTTGATGGCAAAACTAATGAACCACTGAATATGGGCAGCAGAGCCCAAAGAGAGAGGGGAATGACGATACACTGAATTGTGAGAAATTACCAAGGTGATGCAAACTGGGAGGACGGTAAATTCCAAAAAAAAATCTGTGCTTGAGGTTGCTATTCATCAAATTCAGACATTTTTATAAAATAGTTCAGGGTATCCCAACTTCTTGATTCCCTCAGGGCAAGTATAGTTTTTCCCATTGGACCTAACGGCCAAGGAACTCCCCCCCCTTGCACACACACAAATTACCATGTATATGCTGTAATATAAATTCTATTTAAATGCACACAAATTACTGCAGAGTCACTAAGTACAAGAACTTTAAATTTGCAATTGCAACAGCTTGTATCCGACACAATTTTCGCCTGGAAAACTTACATTACCGGCAGGTAAGACATGAAGCGTGACTTTTTTTTAACCCCTGTGGAGGAAATGAAAATAAATGTGCAGTAACAAGTGACAAATTAACAAATAATTATGAGAGCCTGGTCAAAGTGGTTTCAGGCCAGATGTGGCCTGCAGGCCACCAGTTGCACGATGTTTACATAGTTTATGAACAGTGTAGAAAACATACACAAGATTGTTTCTTCATAAAATTCTCGAGTGTTGATGATTATAATGAAAGAAATGGTTAAGTGAGAAACAGGCCTGATCAGGTGAAATATTTAATTAATAAGAAGAATGGTAAAGATTTCTGCAAAATTTTTCATATCACTTCTAGTGAAAAAATGATGCAAGAATAGCAGGGTCATTCACAGACGGAGATTTGTTGTGTAAAGCACAGAAGACGGAAGGTCGTTTCAGAGTATCTTAAGAGTCTGCTAGTGCTATGACCCCTACAACAGGAAGCCAAAGATATGAAAAGGCTCCTCAAGTATTTTTAAGTACCAGGCAGCAAGATGCAACAGCGGTAATAACAGTAACGATGATACTGTTTTACTTTATGCAAAAAGAAAACCACACAGGATAAAATACTAATGAAATAGATGTGGAGGGCATCATGAAGTTCATAAATTACAAAATTTCGCAGATTTACACTGGTACAAAACTTATTCTGAGACATCAAAACTGACTGATTAAAATTCATGTCATTTTAATGTAACTTCCCATTATATCACAAAAAACATGTTTTTAAAAACTGATTGAATTTTGTAATTAAACTCTTCATATGTGTGTTAAATATTCCTGGGACAATGAACAGCATGCAGCAGAAATGTGCTGTAATAAGAAACTTAATTTTAGATTTTAACCATTTAAAGTCCAATGGTAACTATATGCACCACCTACTATAACAACAATAATTAACTGTGAATTTTATGAATTTTGTATGGTACTCAGAATAAGCATCGGCAACTTCCCTAAACATCATTAGCCAACTGATTCTTGTAATGGAGAGGTGCTAGACTTTCTTTGTGATCAGGTATTTATTAACCTTCTGAAGATGCAGCTCATCTAAACATTATTTAAATCTATGTTAATTTTGATGAACATGAAATTTAACCTTTATCACACAGAAAAAAAGGATTTAAATCCTCATTATATGGGACTATTGACTGAATTTTAACTCTGGAAAGATTTAATGGTAGCAATATGATACCACAACATACAGCCAGCTGGACCATGCATAAGTCATAATGCAGTGCTGTTAAACGCTAAGTCACTTGTAATTCCATATTCCTCCTGAGGCACGTCTGTTTTGTGAATTATGTTGGAGGAGTCTGCAATTGCCTAATCAAACATCCAGACCATCCCACTGCATCTTTATTTCAAACTTTATTTTTTCATTTAATGACATATAGTCAACCACATGGGTTATACAGCACAATGATGCTGAAGATGAATTGGGAATATAAAATAAAGCAGTTGTGGCCATTTTTAATATTCTTAACGTTTAATCTGGCCCCGTGTCTGAGGCATCATGCTTTGGACCGGCGATACGGAATGCACGCTGGTTAGAGTCTCGGGGAAAGAAATTTCTCATGGGACCGGTGCCAACCCAGCATCGTGAGGAAATTGGGGAGCTACGATAAGTAGCGTAATCCGGTCAGGAAAACTAGCAATGGCTGGGGGTTCGTCGTGCTGACCACACGTCACCCTATATTTGGTTGGATGATCGTTCACCTCCGCTTAGGCATGTGAACGTGAGGCCAGCAGTCAAGCTAGTCGGCTTTGGCTCTCAGAGGGCTGTTACGCCACGGATTTAATTTTTAATTTAACGTTTAATCTGAGGGACAGAGGAAACACTAAAACACCCTCAGTCAGCTATAAAACTGTAATTTGGCTCAATGTTATTCTCATAAATCAAAGTTAAAATATGGTAAATATACCATCAGTCATCAACATGGGTTTAACTGTGACTCATTATGATGCTAATCGGTATCAGTAAAAATTCATTATCTGGAACACGTGGGGTCCAGATACGATGTTAGCCTCTGACCCACACTGACACTAAACTAACATTAATATTCACAAAAATGCATTATCTGGAATGAGTGGGATCAAAGCAATTTTTTTATTGGGTTGAACTGTGATCCATAATGATTGTATGTTAGTGATGTCAAATATCTACAGAAATGTCTCTATATGATTGAACTCTGATCCATAATGATGTCATTTAGTGATATATAATGTCTATTAAAAATTTATTATTTGGATTCCATGCAATGTAGATTAGTTCCTTCTATGGTTGAACTCTGATCCATAACAGTAAAACTACTACTACTACTCCACTGGCTTGCTGGTTGTAGTCTGACTCCTACTCGTGGTGGAAAGGGGGGTGTACGGACCAAGTCAAAAACATGAAACACTGGCTGCACAGTGACATAGTGTCTTACCTTAGTAAAGATATATCAAGAGACTTTTCACAATGTATTTTGAACTGCAATATATCAGATTAACAGAAATTCCTGTTACATTATCAGGCCATTTTCCACCATGCCCACATTTCCGCTAATCAAGCACACAGCTAAACCAACTCCTCAGTAAATGACAGTACTGTTGTCCAGTGTCCATTAATAAACATCACCTGGAATGCATGTGGTTAAAACTATTTCAATGTAAGGTTTGAAATCTCATATGTCATTTCTCCAACACTGGTAAAAATTAATTTGTGAAAATATTTTGGATGAAAGAAGTTCCACTTTGTACCATCTGAAAATGGAACAGTTCAAATGTTATCTTATCGCTGTTCTCCATTTTGGACAACCCAAAGCAGATACAGCTTTAATGGTGCATTTTATCTGACACATACGCAGTCACAGACGTTACATACATGTGGTTAGCACATGATCAAGCAGTGCTCATTTGTCATCAATATTCACGTTACAATTTCC